AAGAAGAAGAAGAAGAAGAAGAAGAAGAAGAAGAAGAAGAAGAAGAAGAAGAAGAAGAAGAAGAAGAAGAAGAATGATAAGACCATTAGAGTTCTCCTGCAGAACATCTCGGGCTCCCTTTATTAAACCTAAGAGAATGGCAAATCCAAAAACTAGAATCTTGGTGCTTACATAGCTAAGTTGAATACAGCCATTGCCTTACTTGAATGTCACAAACAACTGCTCAAAACTGACATTGTTTCCCTGTCCAGTGGGAAATTCCCATGATTAAAGGACTCAAGTCAGAAGGGATGGGACAGATAGTTTAGCTGTGCAGATAACCTAAAGGCATTTGCATACACACCCACACACCCTTCAAAATAAACTCTTGGGAACTCTAGCAATAGCACTTAGACTTACATACTGCTTCACAGTGCTTTTACAGCCCTCTCTAAGCGATTTACCTAGTCAGCCTCTTGCCTCCAACAATCTGATTCCCTATTTTACCGACCTCGGAAGGATGGAAGTCAACCCTGAGCCTGGTGAGATTTGAACTGCCAAATTGCAGGCAACTGGCAGTCAGCAGAAGTGGCTTGCAGTACTGCACTCTAACCACTGTCCCACCACGATTCTATCTCCTGAAATGCTAAACCAACATCAATTTAGAGCAGCATGGTTGGCTGGGGAATTCTGGGAGTTGAAGTCCACGGATCTTAAGGTGGCCAAGGTTGAGGAACACTGATCTAGACCACCAATCAAACCCTAATGAAATCCACCGCAAGACAATGTGCCAATCCAGATGTTGATGTTCTCCCATCTCATACCCATTCTGGTCTTGTGCTCTCCACCAAGATTCACTGCTCTCCTCCAGGATGAGATATTCTTCCCCTTTCTGTAGCTGCAAATCCTGGTCATTCATGGGGGTGTAATCGTAGAGAGCGATCACTTTTCTCGTTTTAGAAGGAATGCTGGGTGTTGGCTTGGGTGGCAAAGGCTTCTTCATGAACTTGGGAAGGGTTGGAAAAGCAAGGAGGAAAATAGTGAGGCCTACCAAGGGATCTGGTCATAAGGCTCATATACAATGCCCAGGCATCAGTGCTGTCGAATCTACCCACACCAGGGAGGGTCGCGGTGGCTCAGGTGGGTAGGACACTGAGTCAAAAGACCACTGAGAAGTCGACAGCTCGGCAGGTCGAAACCCAAGAGTGAGCCACGGGATGGAATGAGCTCCCATCAATTTGCTCCAGCTCCCACCCACCTAGCCGTTTGGAAGCATGAAAATGCAAGTAGATAAATAGGTACCATTTCGTCAGGAAAATGACAGGAGTGTGAAAAGAGACCCCTCAGGCATCCCCTGGGCAACTGTGACGTCACCATCTAATCCTTTCCACCCAGAAGCGCCTTAGAGGTTGCTTCCAACATGAATGTAGTAGCAGTGAGTAGAGGTTAGGGTTGTAGTAGTAATAGTAGCCACACCAGCCCATAGTTACCTGGTTCTCCTCTGGCGTTGGGGGCAGTGGCTTTTCGGGCTTCTGAAGCAAACGGCCACTTTTGAAACCTTCAAGGAGAAGACAAGTGTGAGTGATTGATTGACTGATTGATTGACATTGATTGATTGATATGGATTGATAGAGCTGATATCCTTCTTTCCTGGCCACAGGTGGCTAATCACTACCTTGGCTTAGGATCACAATTGGGATTAGAATTTCCACTGCTAATAAAAAGGGTTGCTCAGTCAATCCCTCCCAATGTTACAACCATTTTTGTCATTAAGTGAATCATGGAGATTAAGTGAATCCCTCTTCCCTCCTTGTCTTTGTTGGTCAAAGCCAACTCGGAAGGTCGCAAATCACATGACTCCAGGATGTGCAACCATTATAAACACATGCCAGCTACCAAGGGCCTAATTTTTGATCACAGGGTCTCCTAAGTGTGAGGGGGACCCCCTGTAAGTCACTTTTTTCAGTGCCGTTCTAACTCTGAACAGCCATTAAACAAATGGTTGTAAGCCGAGGACCTCCCTGCACAACTAAAGGAAGGAAGGAAGGATGGAGGTTGAGATCAGAGTGAAGACACAAGGAGAAGATGAGATGATATCTTACTTGGAGTTCTGCCAGCCAGCACTTTGCAACCCATAGCCATTTTTGCAGTCTGGAAGCAACAAAGATATTGTCCATCTGTCCAGAAACAAGGATGATATTTCTGCACCAGGTTACTGTTATAGTTGGTCACTGCAACAAAGATGGAATAAGAGAGGAGATTTCAGAGGAGCATGCCAAGAACTAACTCAAGACGTTGCAATATGATTTATTTGTTTAAAAAATTCCACTTAGCAAGTCAACATTAGGTCAATGTTCACCCCCTTTACTTTAACCCTGGCTCAACAAAGCACAAGGACTGCGTGACCCGACAAATACGCACACTACAAAAGTGCACCGACGAAACCGCAGTGAGAAAACCACGACATCATAAACGCAGCCACAACAACGTGCCGACAAAACCACGCCCGCAAAAGCGCAATTTAAGTTAAGGTAAGGGAAGCACGATTTAAGTTAAGGTAAGGGTTAGGTTTAGGATTAGGTTTAGGGTTAGGTTCAGGGTTAGGTTCAGGGTTAGGTTCAAGGTTAAGTTCAGGGTTAGGTTCAGGGTTAGGTTCAGGGTTAGGTTCAAGGTTAAGTTCAGGGTTAGGTTCAGGGT